ATGATGGCCCAGTGTGGGCCAGACATGAGCCTGTTATTAAGAATTTTGTGGGCAGGTTTATTCCTTACCACTAGGGATGCTAGGGTGTTCTAGGTTTCCTTAAGTAAAGCCATGTGGTAGAGATTGCAATAGCAAGCAGCAGTAGCCAGCATGGCTCACCTGCTGAACACATTGTGCTGTATCCTGGTTTGGAAATGTGTAACTTCAAGCCCAGTCTAAAGGAGTGTTTTTTCTATTTAAAAGTGTACATTGCTTAAAGACAGTGTATTTGTATGCATTTTAGAAGGACTCTTTATTGGTGAGGACACCACATCATGGTCCAGTTTGAATATAGATTTAAAGTTATTTTTGACGTGAGACCATAGTCTGGACTATATTTGATTGTTCCTGGTTAGGAAAAGTCTGGTGTTTGTGAGTTGTGGTGTGTTTTCATTACAAGAGTTTGGATTATACGTTTGCTATCAGCCAACTTCAGCTACGGACAGTGTTTGGAAATTAAAGCACTACAGATAAGACTTTCACACACATCAACTTTCACATAACGAAATCCTACAATCTGACATTGCTTTGTTTGCTTTTTTTTGTACTTTTGTGTATTTACATTTTTGGCTATATGTAGCTGTATTAACCTGAATTCAATGTTTTCTATTTTGTATTTAATAAATCCATTGATTTGAAATCCCTTTGACTACTGTACATTTTTGACAATATAGACATTAGTTATGTGGTGACTGCATCCATTTCAGATGTATAATAACTGTTTTTCCCAAAGACTTAAGTTATAGTAGCTGAAAAGTATTTAAAGTGAAACAGATGTATTGTTATAGATCAGGGGTGGATCCTATTCCTGGAGATTTACCTTCCTAGATCTAGGTAGGGTCCAACCCTGATTAAACAAACCTGTCTGTAATTATCAAGTTCTCCTTCAGATCCTAATTAGTTGGTTCAGTTGTGTTTAAACAGGACCAGGTTGGGCACTTCTGTTGTAGATTAATAGTGTGGGCTAAGTGAGGGCTGCCTGTGCAGGGCCAGCACTAAGGGGCCAACGTTTTACTAGTGAGCAAAATCTCAGAGGCCCTACGTTGGCAGCCCGCTGGGGGCCCTTAGGCTAGCCCTAAGTGGGCCCATAAAGGGCCGGTGCAGGCATGTTTGCAGGGGTCTCAGGTCACATATATGTAACCATGGTTCCCTGAGAAGGGAACAAGACATTGTGTCCTCTAGGGGTCGCTATGGGGAACGCCTTCAGCATGACTGGTGTCTGAAGCATACATCTAAAAACGACAATAACATTGGCCGGCGACAGCCTATGACATCATTACCCTGCGCGATCACAGTATAAAAGGACACCAGGATATTCGTCTGAAGCTTGTGTCCGATGCATGGAAAGGAAACTAGAGGACGCAGTGTCTCGTTCCCTTCCCAGGGAACCATGGTTACATACGTAACCTGAGACGTTCCCTTTCGAGGGAACTTCGAACGGCGTCCTCTAGAGGTCGCTATGGGGAACGGTATACCCACGCCACCATGTTGAGGGGAGCGCATGCCAGAAACCACGGCGACTACTAAGTGCCAACTCTACCATAGCCGTGAGTGCTATGTGCAGCTGTCAGTGACATTATCCCCTCCGGCCAAGGGCCTGAGCTGCATATCCTAAATAACTTACCTGATAGTGGTTAGGCTGGGAAGCCCAAGCCTAGGGCAGAGCTTCAAGGCTTGGAATCAGAAGAAAGACATTCCTTTGAGGGGATATGGCCAGGTGTCTAAAACCCAGACCCTGGCCTGTCACCCAGGGTGCTACTGCCGGCTCTGAATGAGCTTGCTCAAAGAACTGACTCGACAGATCTTTGGTAGCAACACCCTGCTCAGAAATTTACCAACAGGGATACATAGGTTGAGTGGAGCCCAAGGTGAAAACCGGGGCCTAACCAACTCACAGAAAGGAAACGAGGCTGACAGTGCGTAACCCTTACCATACAGGATTTTAGAAAGTGTGCAGAATGCCTAGCGTGCACACTTACCACAATGTGGATTTTATAAAGTGCACAGAAACTCAGAGTGTGCACTTACCATAGCATGGATTTAGAAAAACTAAACTAAAAAAAAGTTACTAAAGGGTAACCAAAAAACTGTCCCTTAGACAGGCCTAGACCCTATGTGACTGTGGCACACTCAAGGAGTGACAATAATTTAGCGGGAGGCCGCGTGCTCAGAGCGCATGTAGATTGAAAAAAGGCGTATCTCATAGAAAAACCTTCCATGTGAGGGGAGTATCGCCAACTCAACCATTACAGTCACAGGAAAGACTCTGGAGCATCTACTCATGCATTACTAGAAGGGGTGTAGCACCCAGCTCTCAGACCGAGAGGGGGACACCAGTGCCCGACTGGGAAGCAGCATGCTCTTAGATAACCCTCCAGGGTGAGGGGAGCACTGCTGAGCTCATCAAGGGAGCAGCCTAAGAGGAAGGCAGAGTCCTGATGTGCTACCCAGTGGAGCCCACAGAATGAAAGATTCAACTCTCAAATGAGAGGGAATCAGATGCTCAGAAGTGAGTGGTGTGCTTGCAAGAGACCCTTTCCATGGTGAGGGGAGCACAGCTAGCTCACTCAACAAGCAACCAGCCTGGGATGCAGAAGATGGCCCAGTACCCTGGCATGACTGCTAATCGGAGTGGAGGCCCAACTCCAAACATAGGAGGGGACTCAGATGCTCAAACTGTGAGCAGCGTGCTCATAGGTGACCCTCTAGGGGAGGGGAGCACTGCTAAGCTCGACCAACAAAGAGAGCAGCCTAACAGGGAGGCAGGGAGAGGCTTAACAACCTGAGGGTGCTGATCAATGGAGCTCTAAGTAGCAGAGGACCTAATGAGAGGAGACCTCAGACGTTCAATTGGGAGTGGCGTGCTCAAAGGTTAACCTTCTAAGGTGAGGGGAGCACAGTAGTCAGTAAACGATAGCTTATGTCAACATGATTGATGAGTTTGACCTTTTGACCCATAATTATATCCATATGCAACCTTTGACATCATAATAATTTCCATATGCGAAAACCGGTGTGCGTGAAATCCGGCCGTCAACCCGGATGACAAATGATGTTTGTACAGCTGTATGAAAGAACCCAAGGATGACAGGTGATAAATTAAGGAATGTTTTGAAGATATTATGGATCGTTCCCATATCCAGACTCTCGTGTGCGGACTCATCTGTGGTATCAGGTTGCATTCCAAGGCGTGCTTGGATAAATAGACCCGTACGCTTCTGTGGAAAATCAGAAAAGAGCTGTGAAACACATAGACATGGATGGTTTATACACAACTAAAACTCCTGAGAAGGACTGGGATGAAGAGATGATGGAAAATTTGGCTTTGGCTCTGAGAAAGCCATACAACAGTAATTTGTATTTGACAAAGTTTCTACACGAAAATACGGATTGTGTGAGAGACAAATTCTTTCTGATTAGCGGACGTATATTTGGATACATATTTCACAAACCGTCTCAAACAGTTACGCTCTACACGTCTGACGAGACCAACGAATTTGTACAGGATCAAGATCCCTGCCTGATATTTCCTGATAAAGACTGGCAATTCTTTTTCAATCGTATCTGGAATGATCTGAATGATTGTGTAGAAGAACCTTTGTACGTTGCAGAGTGGGAGTATCGGTACCCCGAGTATCCGGTACCGAGTGATCGGCGATCCCTCCCAAAAGAACCCGGATGACTGTGTGTACATATTCGCCTGCGAAGACAAGACAAAACTTAGTAGTCATTCGTGGGGTGACCGGCATAAGGAATATCACGAAATATTCACCCTCCAATTTTTTTTAAAGGGCGTGATCTGCATCTGCTGAGCGCATTTTTTTAGATCGTAAACAAAATGTTCAAGTGGTGTGACATACGTGACGGCTATACCAAAATTAAAACACAGCTGTTTCACCCCGAGAGTTACCCCAGCAAAAGTTCAGGGGTGTTACTGACCCCGCCCATTTACTACAGCCATTATAAAGAACAGTAAGTCCCTCCCCACATCACATTTCCAACATGTCTCAGGCAGACTCTTTACAATGCGATTACGCTCCTTTCAACCTCGTTGCTCCTGATGATAATGCTATCGATTATATTCCGACAGACGAACACCGCTCACCCGACCTGCAGAAAGAATGCTTGGATAAATTCTGCACGGAACTCGGATATCGTAACCTAAGTTACCTAAAGGACCTGTGCACTACCTCCGCCCGCACAGGGTTCGATACCACAGATGAGTGCTTCAGCGGTATTGGGTTCAAAATCCTAAAAGCCACGATCGTGCTACTACTGCAACACATCATAGACAACAAACTGAGGGAGGACTGCGAGGGATGTACAACGGACCATCCGAGCCAGCTGCAACATTCCTGTCTGTTTGAGCCTGCCGCATACTATTTCGACTCACGCTTCGACGAGCTGTCCCGCAAACTGTTCAAACCCGATCTTCAGACCATTATCGACTTCACTCTACGTTGCTGCGGCTTAATGACCAACAACAATCTGAGGATTCAAGGAACTACTGGCGCTATCCTGCATGAATTAAGAGACGAACCATTCATTGTAGCAAAACTACAAGAAATCAGGGAAAAGCTGCTGGACGAGACCTACAAGAAAGTCGTTTACGACACCGTGGATCTCTGGCAAAGCAGTGTGTCTGTCCCCGGGGTGTGATCGTGACAACATGGGATCTGTGTGTAGCGTGAAGAATTTTTTCAGAGACGTCGTGTTTATCCCGCGTTTTAAAGAGCAGATGATCGAAATGATACGGCTATCAAGCATGCGTGTGATCCTGAGAAAGACCACGAGGGGCAAACGAAACGTATAAAAAATCTCAAGAACCAAATGGACGTTATGAGAAGAGCTACGGATACATGGGCTGTATTGATCGACATGTGTGTCAACAGTGCCGATACACCCTCTGTAATGCTCAGAAAAATTCTAGATGAGATATTAGCTGCCGGTCGAGAGTTAGGAGTTGGTGAGGTACTATGTATGTGTACATATGCAACTGATGTATGTGTGAAACTTGTTTCAAAAAATGAGAAAAACAAGGTCTGCGAAATGGTTGAAATTCTGGTCGACTACATAATAAATCGGGGGTATATGTCATGTGTAAATTGTCTTTACTGGTTAGACAGTCTGTAACATCATTCTATCAGTTTTTATCATTACTCATATCATACATTCATTATGTAAAGATTTTTTTTTTTAAATGAGAAAAACAAGGTCTGCGAAATGGTTGAAATTCTGGTCGACTACATAATAGATCGGGGGTATATGTCATGTGTAAATTGTCTTTACTGGTTAGAGAGTCTGTAACGTCATTCTACCAGTTTTTATCATTACTCATATCATACATTCATTTATGTAAAAATTATTTAATTCTATTCTTATACCGGTACTATGTAAACATTTTTAATTGTATTCTTGTCATTATGTAAACAATTTGAATTTTATTCTTGTCATTATGCATCGGATTTGAATTTTATTCTCGTCATCATGTATCCAATTTGGAGGAAAAAAAAAAAAAATATATATATATATATTCTTGCCACTAACTTTTTTTTTTTAATAAAAGACCAAGCAGAGGGTCGAAACGTTGACATGTCCAAGCTCATGAAAAAAGTTTGTTACACTCCAGCCAACCCTGGTTCTTTAGGAGGTAAAAAACGGTTAAAAGTTGCTGTCTTAAAGGATACCTGAGTCCGTCTGAGCGATAAACAGGTCTCTGACTGGTTGGCCGGGGAGGATGCATACACACTACACAGATCAGCCCCTATAAACTACAAACGTAATAGAGTCGTGGTGTATGGGATGGATACACAGTTCCAAGCGGATCTAGTTGACATGTCGGCATACTCCAAGGAAAATGATAATAATAAATATTTGCTGACCTGTATCGACGTATTTAGCAAGTATGCCGGGGCTCGAGCTCTAAAGAATAAGAGCGGCGTCGAAGTTACTAAAGAGTTCAAGGCTATACTCGAAGACGGGCGTGTTCCAAAGAAATTGCAGACGGACAAGGGGACAGAATTTTTTAACAAACATTTTCAAGATTTAATGAAAAAGCACGACGTTCATCATTTTGCTACGGCTACTGATTTGAAGGCGTAGAGCGATTTAATAGAACATTAAAAAGCCGAATGTGGAGATTTTTATCTGCCACAAATTCACGGAGATACATAGATGTTTTGCAAGATATTATGCAGGGGTACAACTCCAGTTACCATAGAAGTATTAAGATGAGACCGAAGGACGTCAGCAAAGAAAATGAAGGTACCGTATTTCAAAACTTGCAGTGTGCTCGTTCTTCTTCACACCACCGTACATTTAAATATAAAGTAGGAGATGTGGTCAGGATTTCTAAAGTGCGAGGACCGTTCGCCAAGGGTTATGAACAGAACTACACCGATGAATTTTTCACTATCTCAGCATGTATTCAGCATAATCAACCTGTTTACAGACTCTCTGATTATGACGGCGACGTCATCGATGGGGTGTTTTACAAAGAAGAGTTACAAAAAATAATCGTGAGCAAAAACAAAGCGTTTAAGGTGGAAAAGATTTTAGGGGAGAAAAAACAGGGGCGAACTACGCTAGTTTTAGTGAAATGGCTAGGATGGCCCGCGAAATTTAATAGCTATATAGACAAAAAAGCTTTGTTGGACTTACAAAAACCTTAAAGCGTACAAACCTTTACCGAAAGAGATCATTTGAGTGAAGGTTCACCATGGATGACCATGGTTTCTACGTCACGTTACCATGCAACGCTTCTTTGTCAGTTTATCCTGAAAATCGCATATCTAGTTATACGACCAGGTTAGCGAAAACTATAAACCTGAAAGGAGAATGGCAAGTAGGTCTTGCCGAGATTGAATATCCTAGAAGCTGGTACACCCTTAAAGACGGCGATGGGGTTTTCAGCATACATATCTTACCAGTACCATCTCAGAAACATGCGAATAAACCAGGTGCAACCGTGTTTAAAGAGTTATCAGGGGTTTCCGTATCAAGGAAGCTACAAATAAGCGGCGGGTACTACGAGAATGTTCGAGCCGTGACCAATGCAATAATTGCACTTATTGCACCAGCAGCTGTAACAGGTTACGATCGAATAAAAAACAAGGTCCAGCTGATCGCAAAACAGTTTGGTAAACTTCTACGGGAAACTCGCTGCTATTTTAGGAATGAAACCTGACGTGGCTTTAGGACGTGACACCTACCATGAAAAAGCCAATTTTACAATGAGCGTTATCACGGACGATCCTCATCAAGCAGATATCAACGCGGGTTTCTATACGATGTATGTTTATACCGACATCATCGAATACCAATCAGTGGGTGATTCGTACGTCCCCCTTTTAAGATGCGTACATATAACGAGAGGAGACAATGATACCGTCAGTGTTAGATATGACAAACCCCATTACGCATCAGTCAACAAGTCGCTCATCACGGACATAGCTGTAGAATTAAAGGACGACCAAAACCGTGACATACCATTTTCTTACGGGAAAGTCATTGTAAAACTACACTTTAGGCCAGTGAAACAATCTGTGTTTTAAAAATGGATTATTACAACCCACGAGGGATGAACACCGCTGACTATGTCAACTATTATCGAAACCAGGCTGGGGGTGGTCTACCCGGATATGCTGGAGGAGCCGTTATGTACGGAGCTGGCCTAGGAGGACTTTTCAGAGGTCTGTTTAGGATGGCAGTGCCATTGTTAAAAAGGGGGTTCAGCATCGCTAAACCGCACCTAAAATCGGCCGCTAAAAATATAGCAGCCGACGTCGTCTCAAACGCTCTGTCAAGATCGTATAACGGTGATATCCTATAGCTCAAGGCGGTTCGGGGCTTATGGTCATGGCTCGTAAGAGAACGTCTAAACCTCCGGGTATAAGGAGGCGTGGTCATTCAATAAAGAAAACAAAACCCAGGGCCAAGAAGGTCTCAGTCACATGTAGGAAGCGTAAGAAAGCTGTGAAGCGACACGTTGCTGTTAAAAGAGCCGTAAAAACCATATTCTAGCATCTGCACTGCATGTCGGGAGAGTGTATTCAGTCCGAGTTGGATTTGTTTACAGTACCGCTGACACAGACGGTTATGGAGAAAATCGCCTATTTAGAAGTACCACCTTTATCAGCTATATCGGACTCGTCACCTTTGGAGTTTTTTATCGCGGGGACCGGTGAAGATTACATTGACCTAAATAACACATTGTTGTTTCTACGTCTTAAAATCACAAGACCTAATGGGGGCGACATCCCAGACCCCGCAAAGGTAGCCCTAATAAATTACCCCGGAGCTACTATATTTTCACAAGTCGACGTCAGTCTCGGCAATCGTCTGATATCTCAGAGTTCGAGCACTTACCCATACCGATGTATCATCGAGAGTCTTCTCAACTACAGCAAAGATGCGCTGGAATCGCTTTTCTCAGCCGGACTGTTTTTCAAAGACACGGCAGGTCACATGGATGAAACTGATCCTGTGGGACGTAACGCAGGGCTGACCACGAGATCGCTCTACACTACCGGGAGCAAGGTTGTGGAGCTGCTGGCTCCTATTCACAGTGATATTTTCTTTCAAGAAAAATTTATGCTAAACGGTGTCGACATAAAAATATGAATGATCAGAGGCAAAGACGAATTCTGTCTGATGAGCGACGATGCCTATAAATTAAATATAGTGTCGGCCTCCCTTTTTGTCAAGAAAGTATCCGTATCACCATCCGTGAGACTGGCGCATGCCCAGGCGTTGCTCTCAACCACGGCCAAGTACCCCATAGATAGGGTATGTCTAAAAAATTTCTCCATACCTGTTGGATCCCAAGTATCAAATCAGGAAAATTTGTTTTTGGGGATGTTACAAAAATCTATCGTCCTGGCTATGGTGGATAACGACGCATTCACCGGATCCTACGAGAAAAACCCATTCATGTTCAAACATTACGATTTGGAGTTCCTGGCCGTCTACGTAGATGGACAGCAATTTCCCGCCAAACCTCTCCAGTCAGACTTTACCTCAGGATCTGCCGTATGCGAATTTTATCAGTTGGCGACCGCGACCGGGAGACATCTTAAAAATCAACCCCTCTCTATCAACAGGGATGATTTTCTGAAAGGCTACTCGCTTTACGCCCTTCAACTTCACGCCTGACGAAGACTGCGGCCAGAACATATTGCTCATCAAGTCCGGGAATATCAGACTCGAAGCGCGCTTCAGACAACCGTTACCTCATACTATTAATCTCATCTTTTTGCGCAGTGTTTGACAGTATCATCGAAGTGTCTAACCGCAGACAGGTTCTGGTCGATTACTAATGAACACGGTGCACCTCACAGCTATCATGGACAAAATTTCGTGTAACACTCATTTTCTCCGAGTTTTTCCAAGCAATCAGCTGCCTGAAAGACCGTTAAGGACCTTTCCGGCCATGTCTATCATTAACACGCACCCTTCGAACCTGCCTGGTGAACACTGGATCGCCGCTTATTTAACTCGAGAGGGTTCCGGATGTTTTTTCGATAGCTTCGGCAACGCTCCTGACTACGAACGCTTTCCAGTCACCATCAAAAATGTTTTAATAGCCAACATTTAATAGCCATAGTGTTATATTCTACCAAACGGGTTCAGGATTTTACGTCGGATGCGTGCGGGCAGCACTGTGTGTTTTTCCTATATCACATATCGAGGGGTCGAGACTATAACTACGTGATGAATTTGTACAGCGATGATTATATTAAAAATGATAAAATGGTGTCACTCTTTGTCAAAAGACTTGGATCTATTGCTTGTAATGAAAAACTGTTGTCGTGTATTCATTGCTTGTGTGGGATTACAAATTTAAGAATCTGTTTAAAATATGCTGATCCTATGTTCTGACATAGCATCACATGAAAAACTAAGGTGAAGTACATTGTATTTAGCATTTAAGGTAAATTACATCAGACAAATGATTATCTTAAGCAAAGTGGAGCAAGAGGTTCCTGTCTGTTCCTGTTCTCTTATTGTTAGTCAAATGAACCAGATTACTCAGACCATCACCTTTTGTTTGTAATGGCTCTTGGTGCCTCTGCCCCAGTCTTTGAGTAGTTATACTGATTGAATTAGGACTGTCAGACTGATTGGATTAGCACCTATGCATTTGAATGACACTGTTATGCTGATGAGATCAAGGCTGGGAAAATGCCGGTGTCAGGCTGATTGCCTGTACTTCATTTGCATGCTATGGGTTAGATTGTCTCCACCTCTACTGAATGTATCCCGCCCCTTAAAATGTATATAAACTACAATGTATCACTACGTTAGTCATACTTGGATGACTGCAGCGACGCACAGCGAGTCCTCAATAAAGAGTGACTTCTGTATGAAAGATATCCCAACGCCTCCTGGTTTCTGCTTCGACGAAGAAAAAGTTTCCTACAGTTTTGGTGCCGTGACCCGGATAGAGCTCCTCACCTGAATCCAGATTGAAACTTCAAGCTCAACAAAGATCTGACTAAGTTCCAGA